CTTGAGAACAGGAACCCAACAAGGATGCCCTTTATTACCACTTATTCAACACTGTGCTGGAGGTCCTAGCCAGAGTCATTAGGCTAGAAAAAAGAAATAAAAGGCATCCAAATTGGCAAGGAAAAAGTAAAAGTATCTCTATCTGCAGATGATATGATCTTATACACAAAAAACCCTAAAGAATCCACAAGAAAACTACTGGAACTAATAGATTTCAGCAAAATATCCAGATACAAGATAAACATACAAAAATCAGCTGGATTCCTCTACAGCAACAAAGACAACCTCAAAGAGGAAATCACCAAATCAGTACCATTTACAATAGCCCCCAAGAAGATAAAATACTTAGGAATAAATCTAACCAGAGATGTAAAACATCTATACAACGAAAACTACAAGACGCTACTACAAGAAACCAAAAGAGACCTACATAAGTGGAAAAACGTACCTTGTTCATGGATAGGAAGACTCAACAATGTGAAAAATGTTAATTTACCTAAAGTGATCTACATATACAATGCAATCCACATCTAAATTCCAATCACATTTTTTAATGAGGTGGAGAAAGAAATCACCAACTTCATATGGAAAGGGAAGAGGCCCTGGATAAGTAAAGCATTACTGAAGAAGAAAGTGGGAAGCCTCACACTGCATGATTTTAGAACCTATTATACTGCCACAGTAGTTACAACAGCCTGGTACTGGTACAACAACAGATACATAGACCAACGGAACAGAATTGAGAATCCAGATGTAAACTCATCCACCTATGAGCAACTGATATTTGACAAAGGCCCAAAGTCTGTTAATGGGGGGAAAAGCCAGTCTCTAGCAAATGGTGCTGGCATAACTGGATATCCATCTGCTAAAAAATGAAACAAGACCCATACCTCACATCCTGCACAAAAACTAACTCAAAATGGACTGAAGACCTAAATATAAAATCTAAAATGATAAAGATCACGGAAGAAAAAACAGGGACAACACTAGGAGCCCTAATACATGGCATAAACACAATACGAACCATAAGTAACAATGCACAAACTCCAGAAGAGAAACTAGATAACTGGGAGCTCCTAAAAATCAAAAACTTATGCTTATCAGAAGACTTCACCAAAAGAGGTCAAAAGACAACATACAGACTGGGAAAAAATTTTTGGCTATGACAAATCCAATCAGCGTCTAATCTCTAAAATGTACAAGATACTGCAAAACCTCAACAACAAAAAGACAAATAACCCAATTAAAAAATGGGCAAAGGATATGAACAGGCACTTCACCAAAGAAGACATTCAGGTAGCTAACAGATGCATGAGGAAATGCTCATGATCATTAGCCATTAGAAAAACGTAAATCAAAACTACTATGAGATACCATCTTGCCCCAAAAAGGCTAGCATTGATCCAAAAAACACAAAACAATAAATGTTGGAGAAGTCGTGGAGAGACTGGAACACTTATACATTGCTGGTAGGAATGTAAAATGGTACAACCATTTTAGAAATCGATTTGGCACTTCCTTAAAAAACTAGAAACAGAGGTACCATATGATCCAGCAATTCCACTCCTTGGAATATATCCCAGAGAAATAAGAGCCGTCACACAAATTGATATATGCACACCCATGTTCATTGCAGCACTGCTCATGATAGCCAAAAGATGGAAACAACCTAGGTGCCCATTAGCAGATGAACGGATAAACAAATTATGGCATATTCACACAATGGAATACTACACAACGATAAAGAACAATGATGAATCCGTGAAACATCTCATAACATCTCATGACTCTGGAAGGCATTATGCTGAGTGAAATTAGTCGCAAAAGAACAAATATTGTATGAGACCACTCTTAATAGAACTCAAGGAACAGTTCAAATGTGGAAGAAAACATTCTTTGATGGTTATGAGGGTGGGGAGGGAAGGAGAGGGGTATTCACTAACTAGAGTAGACAAGAATTATCTTAGGTGAAGGGAAGGACAACACACACTACAGGGGAAGTCGGCACAACTGGACTAAACCAAAAGCTAAAAAGTTTCCTGAATACAACCAAACACTTCAAGGGACAGAGTAGCAGGGGCGGGGGTCGGGGGACTATGGTGTCAGGGGACATCTAGATCAACTGGCATAACAAAGTTCATTAAGAAAATGTTCTGCATCCTACTTTGGTGAGTGGCGTCTGGGGTCTTAAAAGCTAGCAAGCGGCCATCTAAGATGCATCAATTGGTCCTAACCTACCTGGAGCAAAGGAGAATGAAGAACACCAAAGACACAAGGAAAATATTAGCCCAAGAGACAGAACGGGCTACATACACCAGTGACTCCATCAGCCTGAGACCAGAAGAACTAGATGGTGCCCAGATAACACCAATGACTGCCCTGACAGAGAATACAACAGAGAGTCCCCCTAAGAAAAGTGGGCTGTAGAATTCAAATTCTAGTAAAAAGACCAGACTTAATGGTCTAAGACTGGAGGGACCCTGGAAGGCATGGCCTCCAGACTCTCTGTTAGCTGAAAACTAAAACCATTCCTGAAGCCAACTGTTCTTAGACTGGACTGTAAGACATAAAATGATACTCGTGAAGAGAGTGCTTCTTAGCTAAAGTAGATACATGAGACTAAATGGGCAGCTCCTGTCCAGAGGCGAGATGAGATGGCAGAAAGGGACAGGAGCTGGTTGAATGGACACGGCAGATCCAGGGTGGAAAGGAGGAGCGTGCTGTCACAGTATAGGGAGAGCGACTAGGGTCACTTAACAATGTGTGTATAAATTTTTGTATGAGAGAAGCTAACTTAAACTGTAAACTTTCACTTGAAGCACAATTAAAAAAAAAAAGCATAAGAGGAGGATATGGAATGTGTGGCTAATTGCCTCCATGAATAACTGCTTCCTCTGCAATGAGACCAGAAGAACTGGATGGTGTCCGGCTAACATTATTGAACATTTTAATTAAAGATTCCATAAAAGAATCCTGATCAAAAAAGGGAAAATACAGAACAGAATTTCAAATTCTCACAGACTGCAGACTTTGTGGAGCCACGGAGGGGTGAACTCCTGAAACTACTGACCTGAGATAATCTTTAAACTTTAAACCAAAATATCCTCTGAAGTCTTCTTAAAATCAAACAACAGTTCAGCTTAACAAGCAAAAAAGGCCCGCCTGGGCATTATGCTTTTTTAAGAACTATCTGTATGGGATCAAACTGACAACAGCAATTTGAAAGGTTAGATAGGAACCTTAGGGGGCAGTGAGCTTATGTCAATGAGGAACAACAACTCAGAAAAGAAAGGTGAGAATGGCTGCACAACTCAAAGAACGTAATCAATGTCACTGAATTGTACCTGTAGAAACTTTTGAACTGGTATATTTTGTTGTATATGTTTGTTATGGATTGAATTATATCCCCCCAAAAAACATGTGTATCAATTTGGCTGGGCCATGATTCCTGGTATTGTGTGATTTTCCTATATGTTGTAAATCCTGCCTCTGTGGTGTTAATGAGGGAGGATGGGTGGCAGTCGTGTAAGTAAGGCAATACTCAATCTACAAGACTGGACTGTGTCCTGAGGCAATCTCTTGAGATATAAAAGACAGAAGTGAGCAGAGAGACACGGGGACCTCGTACCACCAAGAAAGCAGTGCCAGGAGCAGAGCACATCCTTTGGACCTGGGGTCCCTGCACAGAGAAGCTCCTAGTCCAGGGGAACGCTGATGAGAAGAAGGCCGACAGAGAGAGAAAGCCTTCCCCTGGAGCTGACGCCCTGAAATTGGACTTTTAGCCTACTTTACTGTGAAGAAATAAATTTCTCTTTGTTAAAGCCATCCACTTGTGGTATTTCTGTTGTAGCAGCACTAGATGACTAACACAATGTTCAACAACAAAAGAAATAAAATTGAGGGAAATGATATATATAAAAAAATATAACAGTAATATTATCATTCACTGTTTCTTGAACTTAAGGATTGTTTGTCTGTGTGTGTGTATATATGTATATACAGAGAGAGATACATTGTTAGTATACACAATAACATTAAAAAAACTGAAAAATTAATACAACCCATAGATCAGTAAAAAGCTATTGTTTAGAGTATAGTTGGCTTGGATTAGAGTACTGGAATTGGAGACTGTTAAGAGTGTACTTAAGTATTCATCAGACAAAAAATACTCAAACATCTGAGTTCAAATGAAGAAAAGCTAGGTTATGTTGGTTTTTGTAATCAGCCACGTTACTTCTTCCAAATATATTTCCAATGTGGCTATCTTAACATTTTTAGAAATGGTTTTATTGTTCTAAAAATGGCTGCCATAAAAATGTAAGCCTATTATCAATTAAAATCAGAGCTTGGTATTATACATAAATGTAACATTGTGAGATTTTCAAGAATCTCAAGTCCAATTCACAAAGTTAGCAGCAAGCATTTTACCAAGAATTCCTTTATCCACATATTCAGTATACAATTCTTGTTGTGAAATAAAAATTATCCCTTTTCTGAGTTAACTAGTGCTGCCATAACAGAAATACCACAAACGGGTAGCTCTAAAGAACAGAAATTTATTTCCTCAGAGTTCAGGAGGCTAGAAGTCTGAACTTAGGACATGGCTCTAGGGGGAGGTCCTTCCTTGTCTATTTAAGCTTCTCGCACCTGACAGCACTCCTTGGTATTTCTGGGCTTGTAGATACATCTATCTCTTTTGTCTGTCTTCCTTGTTCCCCTGTGTGTGTCTGTGTCTATTCTGTTCTTTTTATAATTAAAAAGTGATTAGGTTTAGGATTCACCCTATACTGGTACGACCTCATTAATGTAACAAATGAAAAATCCTATTTCTAAAAAAGGATCACATCCACAGGTACAACCGTCAGGAATTCAATACATATTTTGGGGGACACAATTCAATCCAAAACATCCCTCAAAACAACTTATTCTCTAGATATTTATCCAAAGAACTCCCTTCGGGGACCAACCACATGAACTCTAGAAAAGAGCTTTTTACTCACTTGCTGCCATGTTAGCTTCAGCCTTTCATACTGCTCCTTGCCATCTTCTGAACAATCAGAACAAGTAAACCTAAAAAAGTTATCCCCCTTAAGGTAACTGATCTGTTCCCTCAGCTGACCTAGAAGAAAAACAAAAAGTCACATTTTAGGTTTACCTAGATGGCAACAGTAACCCAAAAGTTTAATCAACTTATCAACCAGATTTTCCAAGTTTCCCATGCTGTGGTTTTTCCCTTTTCATCCAACTCACGATAGCAGAAGGATGGGAGTGAGGAGAGGGTAAAGGAGAAAGATTTTTCTTCTTCTAGCATCAAGTGTGTGCCCACTAATATCTGTTGTTTCTTAACTTTAGGGTTTAGGTACTGAAAAAGCAGGTATTATTGCTCTAACTGGACTTTCCAACTGTTAACTTCCAGACTCCTATAGGTAGGTCTCTTTACACATTCTTTCCAAAAGCATCTTAGCTCCCAGCCTGTGCCAAGCACTGGACTAGGAACCGGGAATACAATGCACAAGAGAGAGCACCTGCTCTCCTGGGTTTACAAATTCTGTGAGGGCTACATTCAAGCAGGTGATCACAACAGCGGAGTGGGTCTCCATCCTCACCGAGCATCAGTCACCCAGAGAGTTTTTTTTTTTTTTTTTAATGTACCTAGGCCCACCCCAGATGAACTGAATCCACCTCTGGGAGTAGGGCCTGGGCCTTGCTGGTTTTTAAAAGTTTCCCACATGATGCTGATCCTCTGTGAGAACTAGAATGTGCTACATGCCAAAGAGCAGTGTGAGACACATAGTAAGGGTGCCCAAACCGTAATAGGAAGACAGGGAAGTTAGGGAAAGTGAGGCTGGTGGGGAACTGAGGGATGACTAGGAACTGGCCAGGTGAAGTGAGGTGACTGTGTATGGGGTTGGGATGGGTGAGGAGGCTATAGAGCTGCATCGTTGAGGAAATAAAAATGTACAAAGTCCTAGGGATGAGAAAGAACTGTTTGTGGAGAATTAAAAGCTCAGTCTGACTGCAAAGTTCTACTTATGCCCGGGGGTGGGGAGGGAACCAAGGAGAGAGACGAAAGAAGGCAGCAGGACCTGAGCACCCTATAAATTCAATAAGGCAGTACAAAATGTATCCCGTGAGGACAAGGGGAAAGCCATGGAAGTGTTTAGGCAAAACCCTTAGTTGAGGCAAAACCTTTAGTTAATAAGCCATGGAAGTGTTTAGGCAAAACCTTTAGTTAATAAGAGTTAATTAGTCAGAAGCAAAAAATGAGCTAATAAGTAGTAAATTCTAGGTTTGTTTTCTGTGAAAATTTTACTATTAACTTCTTAACAGTAACAGTTAAATTCACTTCAACAAAAACATTTCCACATACCAGGAAACTACCCACTTCACAATAAAATATATATAAATTTCTCTGACCCAGTTACAGACTCTACTACACAAAGCATTTCTCCAGCACATATATCTTTACTAGTCTCTGCCTATCACAAAAATCCAGTTTTGGTAAGAATCATATGACAGCAGGCAAGGCCTGCTCTTGAGAGCCAGGAGCTGGCAGGCGACCATCTCAAGACTGGGGCAATCAGGTGAGCATGTATGTGTATCTCGTCAGCAAATCAAGCAGGCCAGCACGAAATGGAAAATAAGACTGCTTCTACAAAACGGGAACAAAACACGTCTAACCTGCTAATTCTGACCTCACTTCAGCATATAATAACTATGGTTCTTCATTTAGGTTAAACATTAACAGAGAAATTTTTATGAATTTGAACTTTAATTCTACACTGGGAAAAATTGGCTCTAATTCCAAACACAATCTTGTTAGAAAAATGTGGCTAATTCTTTAGGAACACAGGATTTCCAACTTTCTAATTTTTAATGGGTTACTATCAAGTGTGCTAATTTAAAAATTTAACAGGTTGAAAGTAATTTTTACTACTACAAATATGTCTACATTTTATATAAATTTATGGTTGGTCAACTAAATAATAAATAATTATCCTTTTATTTAGATTTTATACTCATGTTTCTTTCACAGGCTGGAAAAACAAAACTTCACATAGAAATCGACAAATCAAAGAAATTGAGAAGTTCCTTACTGGCCGGAATCCACTTTTGGCACTTGTCACAGAAGAAGGACAGCTGCTCCTCCATCCAGGACACGTCTCCTTCGTCACTGTTGAGGGAATCCCCACTCTGATCATGAGATAAGTCCACTGATGCCTGGTCCTCCGACTCTACAATCAGGAGCGTCTCCCCCTCCACTTCACCCTCTTCCAGCCCTTCCGAGGTAGATGTTCTTGTGGCTTCGTCATCGTGTCGACTTATCAAACTACCCAGGTGGATATTACTATCCATCCCTTCTCACAGGTTCGGAAGTGCTTTTCAGTAACAATCCCAAGTTCTGGACACTGAGCTTAAAGGGGCTTCCACCAGGACCACACAAACAGAAACCGTTTAGTAGAGCATCTGCCCACAGACATGAGGGTTTTTAACGCAGGAATTTAGAATATATTATCCACACTGTTTGTTATCTGATCAAGTTTAAAACAATAGTGACCAAAAAAAGGTTGAAGATGCTACTAAGCTATTCACTATCTGAACAAAGCACACACATACACGTTCAACACCATCTGCCCCATCAATATTTCATATTCAAGTCATGTTTTTTGAGATCCTTTTGTCAATAACATCTTCTCTCTTTCAGCTTCAAGTTGCTCAGTCAAAATAATCTGTTCTCCTAAAAGACGGATGTTTTCTTTTTTCCGATTTTGCCGCTCAATATCTCTGATCACTCCATCACGAAGTCTCTAAAAGCGTAAAAAAAGATTTCAGTAACACCCTGAACTGGTGTTCTCATCCTGCGCCATTCAAATTCAAGTAACAGTGTTACCAAAATTCACTTAAAACTTTCAGATTCCAAATAATAAGAACTCAATTTTAACCTTCTGTACAAATGTAATAAAAAAAAATCATCAAATTAATTCAGCAATGTGCTATAGTGTTATTAGTGAAACTACTTCTCATATTTTAAGAAATGCCTGAACATATAATACAGAAAATGGGAAACACCAAGAAAGAAAAAACTGGCACTATGTTGAATTTTAAGTTTAAATGATACTTGATGTTTTACAAACTTCAAGAAAGTTACTACAGTAACTCTGTAAACTACTTTCCTGTTAACAATTATTCTAGCTGAATAAACATCAAGAAAAAAAATTGCTAATATCTGAACAAACTGTAAGGATGCAAGGAAGTAAAGAACCTGGCTTCCTCTAGTATGTAAAAAGAAAAAGTAAAAATTATACAAAATTTACTAATTAATTATACATAACAGGGAGAGAACCAAAAAAACCAAACCCACTGCTGTTGAGTCGATTCCGACTCATAGTGACCATACAAGACAGAGAAGAACTGCCCCATAGGGTTTCCAAGGAGTGGCTGGTGAATCTGAACCGCGACCTTCCGGTTAGCAGCTGTGCTCTTAACCACTGTGCCACCGGGGCTCCACAGACAGAGAAGGAAAAAAAAAAGATTGCTATTACTAGAGAAAAAAAAAAAAAAGCCTATCAACAGTAATTACCTTAATAAGCACTAAAAAGACAGGGAGAAAATTCCAGAATGTAGACCTGGCACCAAAGATGAGCTTCTTTAAAACATCAATGCAGTCATTACTGATGATGAACACAACATATAGTTTATAGATCACAAATACCCTAACCACTTTTTAATAGTGGCCTTGTGAGGTAGAATTACTGGAGGTGAGGCCCAGGTCATGGATTTTTTTAAAAAATGTCATTATATCTATTTAAAAAACTCAACAAGTACCTACTTGCTGGACCTCTTCTAGGGCTACAGCATCTTTTGAGAGTCTTGGGATTGATAACTAAAAACTAACTCTCCTAAACCCTATGCCCTTGAATGATCTCCACTAACTGAAACAAGAAATAGAGCTTATTCCACCCTCCCTCCATATACAGTACTTCCTGCCCAGTGCTCCTTACACCATGCTTACCTACATACACCAGCTGACCCCACCCCCAGTCAACACCATCCACTGGAATCATTCTTTCCACACCTGCCTCAAAGATCCTATCCTTTTCTCTGAGACTTTAGCATGTGGCTTATGGTCTTGCTCTCCAGGACCTCCTTCACTTGCATTTTCCTCCAGGCTTCTATGTCTATGCTGATGGCCTCACATATCCTTCCCCTTGACCTCCATCTTCTCCCTTCAAAAAAAAACAGTTGCCTTCTAATCGACCTTGACTCATGGCAACTCCATGTGTGTCAGAGTAGAACTATAATCCATAGGGTTTTCAATGGTCTTTCACAAGTAGATCACTAGGTCTTTCTCCCAAGGTGCCTCTGGGTGGATTTGAACCACCAACCTTTTAGTTAGTAACTGCCCATTTAAACATTTGCGCCACCCAGGGACTCTGTGAGGATTAAAGATGATGTATATAAAGTGCATAGTACAGTACCTGGTATATGGCAGACAGTCAAGAAACAAACAAACAAAAAAAGAACAACAGGAAAACAATAGTCATTATACTTCTTGCTTCCTTAAGCCTTCAGACACTGCCGATCATTTGACCTTGTCTAGAACGTAAATCCATAATGAATCATCAGATGTAAAATAAACAGGTTATTCTGGTCAATCTTTTTTTTTCATCTCTAACTTGCAAATATCTCACAGGACAATTCTAAATATTTCTGCTCTTCCACTCTCTAACACAGCAGTTCTCAACCCTGGATGCATGTTAGAATCCCTTGGGTCACTTTTAAAACATACCTAAGCCAGGTTCCCATCCCCAAAAGATTCTCATTTCTTAGATCTGGGGTGGGATCCAAGCCTCGGTTATACTGTGAAAACTTCCCAGGAACATCTGATGTGTGTGCAGAACCAAGCTCTAACCCATTCTTACCCCATAAACCAAAATAAAACCCGTTGCCGTTGAGTCAATTCCAACTATAGCAACCCTACAGGACAGAGTAGAACTGCCCTGTAGGGTTTCCAAGGAGCGGCTGGTGGATCCAAAGTGCCGACCTTCCGTTTGCTGCCGAGCTCATATCCACTGTGCCACCAGTGTTCCCCTTACCCCATACTCTTTGAAAATCTCTGACTTCATTGACCTCAGAACTACGTCTGACATACCCATACCATCCTCTACTCCATATTTTCTCAGAATCACCATCTTTTCCTTTTCCTTTTTAGAAGAGGAAGTCCCTGCCTCTACTCCAAAAGCAATCCCTCACACTCCCTACTTTAATCCCATCTCTCCAAGTCTCTTCTCTGCCCTTTCATCATTAATCACCTCATCCCCTCCTCAAAATTCTTGTACCAGCACTCCCTTCCTCTTCTCTGATTTCCACAGTGTGATCACAGAGAACGAAGATCTCATCTGCTTCATCTCTGTAAACCGACCACATAGCACAGGCCAGGAGTAGACAATTCCAGAGAAGACTAAACTCTTCATTCACTCATTATTTCCATCCTTGGCAAACTAGGTTCAACTCCAATACCTGCCAAGGTGTTATCTTAAAGTTTGCCAACGACCTAGTCGTGGGTCCTCACACTAAACATTCAGCACTGTTGTGAATTTTGTAGACTTTGGAGCAGCTGTTTCCTTACCACTGTATTCCAAAAATGCCTAGTAGTGTGCGTGACACACATCAGTCATTAAAGGTTTGCCAACTTGAATAAGAAAGAAAATATGAAGTTAGAGAAAAGGAATGGATGGTCATTCCGATGATCAGTAAGCCACAGGTATTTCCAGAAATAAAAGTACCAGAAAGAAAATCTGGAAGCTGGTATCTCTATTGTTCCCAGAATCTACAGTTTCCTTAGCCAACGAACCCTTATAAAAAATAAATGACATATATCTCAACAAACTTCCCAGGTTTAATGTGGGTTGCAGGGGAGCCTCCTTTATCACGGGACAGAATCATTAGCACTTAAACTCATCAGCTTTCACCCCAATCTTGAGCCTGCGGGTAGAGAGGCCAAGGAAACCGTTTTCCTGCCCTCTACTCTGTGGCAGCGCAAATGAGATGCTGAAAGGTCCGTCTCACAGCAGGCAGGCTGTGATCTGAAAACAGAACCGCTGCCCATCCAAGAGCCTGCGTTCGGGAAGCCAGCCAACTTAACGCCCGGAGGGTCAGGATCCCAGGCGGAGATCGGTACTGGGGTCACCCCGGGCTTCCAGGACGCACACAGGCCCCAGCAGGACCTGCAGCGAGGAGGGCGGAGGGAAGAGGCGCCGAGCCGCGCCGCCGCGGGAGGGAAGGTCAGGCCGAGAGGGACAGACATGAGGAGCAGCAGGGGAATCACGCGGAGGGGCTAGAAGAGGCCCCGAGGACGCAGTCGCGCACTGGCCTCGGAATAGATGGTACATGACACCGACCTGCTGGTCCTGACGCTGCTTCAGATGCACGCCGGCCACGGTGGCCGCCGTCAGCAGCACCGAGAGGCCTAGCACCACCTTAGAGCTCCTCGACATTCCCGCGCCAGCCGCCGCGGACGTCTTCTCCTGGTGTCCGACGCGCCCGGGCAGCAGCCAAGCCCGCGTCACTGCCGGTTCAGGCCAGGCTCGACCCCTCGAGCGCAGAGCCCGGGCCGCCCAGTGCGTTGCCTGTCGCCGCCAGTCGCAAGCAATCGAGAGCCGAGCACCGCGCGGCGCCCCGCAAGGCTGGAGGAGCGGCTTCCGGAGGGCTCGCGGGGCGGGAAGCGCTTGGTTTCTCCGAGGGACCCAGGAATAAGAGGAGCCCGCCTCCCGGGCCCCATCCCCTCCCGCGGGTCACGGCACCTTGCCAGGGCAGAGGTCTCAGGTCTGAGCCGGTCTTAGTTCTAACCTCCAGCCCCCAAGGCGGGGAGTACGAGGCGGAGGCAGGACTTCCCCCTGAGGCACTTTGCTGCCCCTAGTCCTAAAGGAACGCTTTGAGGGTCGGGCTGACCCGAGCGCTTTGCTCCATACCGGCTTTCACCTAAAAGCAGCCCCTCATTGTCCCTTTGGCGAGAGAGGTGCAGCCAGCTGTTTGGCAGCTTCGGAGGCGCGGGGTGGTAGTTTTCATGGAGTTTTTGCTTCGGGACCCGTAATGTAATGTTGTAGACACGGTCACCTGCTTTCACCTTGCCGCTGTGGTGTAGCTAGTCAGGCTCTGGTTTTTCTTAAAATGCATGTTAACTGGGCATGGGCACCTTGCCTTCTGATGTGAAAAGCACAGAGTCGGGGTCAGGAAATTTGCCTTGCCCCTCGTTGCCCGTGGAATCCTTAGACATCACTTTGACACCCTGGGAGCCTCAGTTTCCGCGTCAGTAAGACAAGATTCCTAGTGCCCACATTACTAGGACAACAAATGGTAGAACGAAGTAATGCGTTGCGAATAAAAAGGTACTGTGTAAGGCAGGTATCATGTTCACTTCTCCGTAGGGTGGAAAGAGGTGTGGCCTTCCCGAAATATTGAAGTATCTGATAGAGCAGGCAATGAAGAGGTAATCATTAAATCATTCTTTCCCTAGAATTCACCGGGAACAAACGTCTTCCTGTGGAAACAACTGTAGACTATACTGATTACGGCTAGGGCTTGGCTAGCCTCACCCAAGGACTTCTCCAACATTTATCTCCGTTCGCACCAAACAAAAAAAAAAACCCCGTTGCCATCGAGTGGATTCCGACCGATAGCGACCCTACAGGACAGAATAGAACTACCCCATCAACCTGCCAACCTTTTGGTTAGAGGCCTAACGCTTGCTTAATCACTGCGCCACCAGGGCTGCGTCTCTGTTCATAAAACCCCAAAGAACCAAACCCGTTGCTGTGGAGTCGATTCCAACTCAGAGACTATACAGGACAGAGTAGAACTGTCCCACAAGGTTTCCAGGGAGCCGCTGGGGAATTCAAACTGCCGACCTTTTGGTTAGCAGCCAAGCTCTTAACCACCGTACCACTAGGGCTCTGTTCTGTTCCTGGGGCATTGTTATTCCAGTCTCCTTTTATGTAAGCATAAATGCCATGAAATGAAAATAAAACTAAAATAATAAAAATTAAAAAATTTGAAGATATAGTAAAATAACTATTTCAAATGTCATTTTTGTCCACAGCATTTTTCTCAGATCAAGGAGGTTATACCACTGAGTTGGAAAACAGGGTTCCCTGTGCTAATAGACTTTGGAGTCTGAAGCAATTTCATTCAGAGCATATGTGCATATTTCTCTAAAGAAAAAATATACATATTAGACTGTTTTGTACTTGTGGTGGACACCAGATATTTTCCTCTGTAGATCAGTGAGCCTTCAACAGAGCTAAAATGTACATCAGAGAGTTAGATGGCCTTTCCTCATATTATGGCCAATTTTTTAACTTTTTTTTCTTTAATCTCTTCTTGAAATGTATTTTTAGTCTATTTTTTAAATAATATTATATTTTGGTGAAAGTTTACACAGCAAATAAGGTTCCCATTTAACAGTTATTACACAAATTATTCAGTGACATTGGTTACATTTTTTCACAATGTTAACATTCTGATTCATTCCATTCTGGATGTTTCATTTCCAGTAATCTGGTCTCCCTGTCCCCTTACCCTTTCATCTTTTCGTTAGAGTAATTGTTGACCATTTGGTCTCATGTAGGTGGTTTTATTTAAAGATGTGCAGTACTCACTGGTAATATTCTTCATTTTATGAACCAATCTCTTATTTAGCTAAAAGGTAACCTCAGGAGGTAGTTTCTGTTCAAGGTTTATGGAGTATCTCAGGGTGATAGTCTTGAGGAGTCCTATAGTCTCAAATGGTCCAGTAAGTCTGGATTTTCTATGAAGTTGAGTTCTGTTACACATTTTTCTTCCCTTCTGTCAGGATCTATTGTGGCCCTGATGAGAACAGTCGTAAGTGGTAGCCAGGCACCATCTAGTTTTTCTGGTCTCGGTAGATGAGGCCGGTAAACTGTTAGTCCTGTAAACTAGTTTCTTCTCTGAGTCTTTGGTTTCCTTCTTTGTCTTTTGCTCTGGATGAGAAGAGACTGATAGTTGTTTTTTATTCTACTTCATAAAAATCCATTAAGTGTTAACTCTGTCAAATAAAAAAGTAGATTATTCATAAACCTAAGCAAAGTGTTTTGTGTGATTATTGTCACAATTACTAGATTACAAGAGAGTGGCTGCATACCATCAGCCACTGAAAATCAACTATTTTTTTTTCAGTTAAAATAATTTCCATCTAGTCTAAGTACATTTTTAAGCAAGTGCAATGTGTTTGAATAAAAGCAGTTTTGGAGACAACTTGAAGAGTTTCTACTAATACATACATTTTCAAAATGGCAAGTCCAGACTTGGTGTCAATTAAATCATTCATTCAATTAATTTTTATTAAATGTACCAGGAGCAGTGGATTCAAGGTAGCTCCCTCTCCTTCAAGCAGTTCAATTCCTGGAAGGACAACAATTTGGCATATTAAATAATCACAATAAAAAAGGCAACAGACCAAGACGATTCTATGGGGGAAAGAATAGTCTCTTCAACAGATGGTACTGGAACAAGTGTAAAAGAATGAAATTGGACCTTTACTTCACCATATACAAAAATTAACTCAAAATGGATCAATTACATGACTAAGAACTAAAACCATAAAACTCTTAGATGAAAACATTGGAGTAAATGTTTCATGACCTTGGATGTGGTAATGGATTCTTAGATATGATAACAAGAGCAAGAGCAACAAAAGAAAAAGATAAATTGGACTTCATCAAATTAAAACCTTCTGTTCATCAAAGGACATTATCAAGAAAGTGAAAAGACAACCTATAGAATGGGAGAAAATACTTGGAAATCATATATCTAACAAGGATTAAGTAGCCAGAATATATAAAGAACTCCTAAACTCAATAACAAAAAGATAATCTATTTTTTAAAATAGCAAAGAACTTGTAGAGACATTTCACCAAAGAATAGATACAGATGGCCAATAAGCACATGAAAAGATGCGCAACTTCATTAGTCACTGCTGTTGTTGTTAGGTGCCATTGAGTTGATTCCGACTCATAGCAGCTCTATAGGACAGGGTAGCAGCTGGTGGATTTGAACTGCCAACCTTTTGGTGTAGCCAAGCTCTTAACCACTAAGCTGCTAGGGCTCCTCATTAGTCACTAGGGAAACGCAAATCAAAAAAATCACAATGAGATACTACTTCATACCCACTAGGATGGCTATTATCAGAAAAATAACAAGTGTTGGTAAGAATGTTGGGAAATTGAATTCCTCATGCATTGCCATTGGGAATATAAAATGGTGCAGGCGCTATGGGGAACAGTTTGGGAGTTACTCAAAAAGTTAGAATTACCAACACGACCAAGCAATTCCACACCTAGGTGTTTACCTGAAACAATTGAAAACAGGGACTCAAACAGACTCATTACACCAATGTTCACTGCAGCATTATTCACAATAGCCAACCAAGTGTCCATCAACAGATGAGAGGATAAACAAAATGTGACCTATTGTATGAATATAATATTCATTGTGGGAATACACACTGTACATAATATTCACCGTATGAATATACATTGTATGAATATAACATTCATTATATGTGTATATAATGGAATATTTTGCAGCCATAAAGAGAAACGAAGTTCTGGTACATGCTACACATGGATGAACACTGAAAACATTATACTGAGTGAAATCAGATATACAGGATAAATAATCTGTGATCCTATTTGTATGAAATATCTAGAATAGGCAAATGCACAGAGAACAAAGTTTATTAGTGGTTATGAGGAGCTGGGGAGAGTTACTGCTTAATGAGTACTGAGTTTTTGTTGGGGGTGATGAAAAACTTTCAGAAATGGATAGTAGTGATGGTTGAACAACATGATGAATGTAATTAATGTCAATGAATTATAAACTTAAAAATGATTAAAATGTCAATTTATACATATATATGTATGTAGATTATCACATTAAAAAAAAAGATATCAGAGACAGTTGACAAGTAGCAATTAACTGTTCCCCAAAGTCAAGTGTGAGTGTGGAGTCTACTGTTCCAGACTCATCATCACCTGACGCATGAAAAGATTAAAGACCCAGATCTCAGTCAGAGTCTTCCAGCAACCCTCCTCCAAAAGCCAGGGGCTGGCTGGTTTTGAATTCCTTACTCCCTTCTTGGCACTAAATCATCACTAAACCAAAACCCATTGCTGTCAAGATGATTCCAACTCATAGCAACCCTATAGAAGAGAGTAGAACTGCTCCATCGGGTTTCCAAGAAGTGGCTGGTGGATTAGAACTGCTGATCTTTTGATTAGCAGCCACAGCTCTTAACCACTGTGCCATCAGGGCTCCAAATGCTGATTAAATGGGAAAGTCCTACTTAACCATTGTAGACTCTGGGTGGGAGGTGCTCTGAAAATAATCAAGTAATTAAGTACAGGCAGAAGTTCTAGTACAAGGTGGAAGACTGAAAATTAAGGACCTCTCACCACAAACCAAACCCTTTGCCATTGAGTTTATTCTGACTCAGAGCGACCCTATAGAACAGAGTAGAACTGCCCCATAGGGTTTCCA